CTAAGCCGCTGAGCTGTGCCTTATGGCTCAGGAGGGGTGTTAACAGGACTGCAGATGTCACCAGAACTTGATGATGAAAGCTAGAGTTCATTGGCTAGGGTTAGTTTGGACAGCCAAGGAGTGGAGGCTGTGGATGTTTTATCTACTTGGCTTCTAGTCTATCTGATTCCTGCTTTGGGTCCCCTCAGCCAGCTATGCCCATTAGTGCCTTAACAGACTGCATGTGGCTGATTATGTACACGGCTAATCCTTTACAAAGTAAACTGAAGCAACCCTATTTTCATATCGGCTCACTGACCTCCAAGAAATCAAGAATTTGTGTGAATTTTGGGGGAAAAAAACAGTCAGGGAAGGATTTTTCAGTCAGAATAGAGTTCAGGGCAACCATAATGAATTGAATACTGGCTATAAACCATGACTTTTTAAATGTCTTCCTTAATCTTTCCCAAACAGGAGAGAGACCTTATGCAGAAGCCAACAGAGGTAATGTGTGTGTGCGCGCTCGTGCGTGTACGTGGGGAAACACAGACAGTGAGCGGGTGTTGAAAGGCTCAGTTGTGTGAAGGGGCAGCATGCAGTTCCAAAGGGGGAATAGCAGACCTGCAGACAAGATGGTGAGGAGTGTGTGATGGTTGTCACCGTCACTTCAGTGTCAGGCTTACGGTGTCTCGCACGTTCTTGTCTTCTCAGACATGGATTATCGTTCAGTCTGGTTGAGCATAAGGATGTCATGTGAGCTAATGTTTCCCCCACATACTCCACCAGCAGATAATTAGCAAAGCCAACCATAAAGTATTTTACTGACTCTGTCATTACCTTTGATTGGTGTCTCTTTAAAAATCTTTGGCTTCCCAAATTATTTTCTGTGGGTAGCAATCGTGTTCCTAAAGAGACTGTCATTACTGAACAGTTGCCCCATGGTACTGCGTGGCCAGAGGTTGCATGCAACAGTTGCTACCCGTAGGAAGACCTGAGCAGAGACAGCATACCTCAGACACCACTTGTAGGGTGAATGCTGTATCCATTCAGCAAAAGCCAAAGGATCGTATCTGGATTGTGAATGCGTTTGCTTCCCCTTCTTTTAAGGAGACAGTGAAACAACCAGCAAGGTTAAAACTACTGCTTTAAATTGGTTAGCTGATGTGTCTGATGTCTGTCCTGGCGTTTATACTCCTTGCCTGATATTTAATTTCCTCTCAGTTGTGGCAGCGGGCATAGTCAATTAATCCGTTAATTGTGAAGTTGCAGAGCAGTGATAGACAAAAGGGGCTTCTGGCACTTGGCAGAGAACCAATATACTATCCCTCTTGTGCTTCTCACTGCCCGTACAGCTACCAGTGGGGGAGATGGGAAGTTGGAAAAGTTCAAAACCCTCCAGAGCTCTATTTTTAACTTTCCTATACCTGTAAGCCACACTTGCAGAAACTGAGAAACATCTTAAAGAAGATATGTTACTCTTGGAAGGTAGTGATAGTAATCCTGGGTCCTGAATGTGTTTTCATTAATATCTTTATATTTTCCTCTAGTGCTTTTGTTTCCCTCTGTGGCTTTTGCATTCTGTTTTCTTGTAGTAACAAATGAGAGTGACTCTCCAGATTTTCTGTTGGCAGTCACTTTGCAGTCTCTCTCAAAAGGCCTTTTGCAATTCCCTGATACTGAATCTTTATTTCCATAACTTGAGCAGGTTAAACCTCCTGTGGAAGGTAATAATTTCGCAACACTCCCTCCGAAGTCTCCTTCTCATGGTGGCACAGGCGATGAGGATAGTTTTGGTACCCGTAAAGCCAGATCTTCATTTGGACGAGGCTTTTTCAAGATAAAAAATAACAAGAGGACCGCGAGTGCCCCCAATCTGGGTAGGTATCGTGCACCTGCGTGCAGATTCTGTGTGTTTTGAACATGGGCCTGAACAACAGCTGTAGCTGTCCTGAGAAGCAGGACGGCCAGCCTTAGTCTCACTGTGACTTGGTGGCACTTTTCTCAGTAGAATGTTTGGAAAATACCAAACAGCAACAAAAGCCCCCAGAAAAAAACTCACTGATGTAATGAAGTGTCTGAGCTATTTCACCCTCTGCTGTGATATCTCCTCTGGGACCTTATAGTGAGTCGCTGCTGTTTTGAAATGCTGCCTGTCTGGCGGTAGTTCACACACGGGATGTGTGTGCTTTTTTTCCTCCTGGCTCCATCCTCAGTTTATCTTCTATAAGATTTTCAGATGTACAGAAATGAGGGAGCAGCACTCAGTCTTCCTCTTCATTTTATGTATATTTAAGCAGCCTTACAAAAGAGATTGTGACAACAGGAAGAAGATTGACAAGTTATTCAAGCTCATGTTTATTTTTGGACCTGTAATGGAGGGGGGGTTGTTTTGGTATTGTCATTTGATGACGTTTGCACAGGACAAAGAAATAAACAAAATGTACTGCTTAATGCAGAAGTCTCTGTTACCACCAACTGAAATCCTTCTTACATTCACTGCTCTGCTGTAGTAGTCTTTCCACTGTTCCGGTTCAAGCATCAGGTGAGTCTGTGCATCAGATCTACTGCCATTCATCAAAAGTTTTAGGCTTTCTCTTACATGAGATTTAGGAATTTAGCTCTGTCTTTCAGAAGCCTGAAGGAGGATAGCATCTGCTTTGCTGAGCAGAAGAGTATCCTGTTCTTACTTTCTCAAAGACAGTTTTAGACTTTTGTTCGAAAGAAATAACATAGCTACACATTTATTACACATTGCCTATATTTTCCTGTGACACATAACTTGGGAACTTGCTGGCTTACTTGGAATAGATGTGCAGTCCATTCTGAGGGTTAGACTCTTTGCTTTGTTTTATTTCATGCGTGCTTTTGTGTAGTCACTTGCTTCATCCTGAAATTAATTGGTCTAATAAAGTGGACTACTTGTGGCTGTCACGATTGGAAGATGGGCCATGTAGATCAGGGTCCTGTGAATTTGAGTAAGTTATTTATGTTATCCAGATTTCAATGCTTCCATCTGTAAAGCTGGTGTCCAGATACTTTGCCGCAGCCCACGTGAGTCACCTGCCCAATGTGACATGGAGCAAGTGACCTCCCTGCACCGAAGTGGCTGGGGGGGGGGGTCCTGCCGTAGATCTCCACTGCATTTCTTTTTTGTGATAGAGGGGATTAACAGTGAATTGGTCATCCTAATCTCTGTGTGAATTCAGTGTTGCGTGTAGCGCATGTGTCTCATGTACCTCCCTCCTTTTGTCTTGTATTTTGCTGACATAAGTTTTGAACTGTGTTTTACCTTGTCCCTCTGCGTGTTCTCTCCCGTTGTGCTGCGTGTGGTTATGTGCGTTGTTTGGATATCTGAAGATCGCAGTCGAAGTGCAAGTGCACCTACTTTAGGTATAGTAATCCTGCATGTCTGCCTGTACCACCGCTGTGTTGTATCTGCTGCTAACAGCTGGTTATGGCCACACACTTTTAAAACAAGAGCTAGACACCAGAGCTCTGCATCAAAACTCTTGTCCATCACTAAAAGGAGTTTTCACGTAACATCTGCCCTCTGCTAAAAGTCAGCTGTGCCGTTTCTCAGTAACTGCTACTAATGAGAGAGATTGCGGGTTAATTTGCGGAGACCTTTGCCATAGCTCTGAGCACAGTTACCCACAGCCTGAGGTAGCAGGTGAGAATCAGTGGTGGTTAAATACCTGAGGCACCTTTGTGCTGTCGCCTGTCCTTGAGCCCCTGGAAGAGGTTAGAGGGTGGCGAAGCAGGGAATGAGGTATGTTTCCCCGGTGTTCATTTGGGGGAGTTCTGGAGGGAAGAATACGTAATTCATCTTCTAAGAAGCAGTTATATTTATCATATAATAAAATAATGAGAAATAATTGAGGCGGATGGAGATGGAGCCATTCACGTAGCAAAAACCAGTCTCGTGATTCCCTGGATGGTTCTGGCAAGGACAGGTAAGACCTGCGAGGCCCTGCCTTGCAAGCGGAGCTGTGTCAGTCAGGGTGGTTGTAGAGCCACCCAGTGTGCCCCTTGCTGATGAAGGGACCAAGTGTTCTGGGCCCTCTCTGTTTCCCATGTGGCCCCTTAAAATGTTGGGGCTGTGTCAGTGCATGAAGGGGAGCGAGGTACAAGAAGCAAATGTTGCAATACCTGCAAATCTCTGCTACTAATGCACCCAGCCTTGTCCTGGTATTCTCTCTCTAGAATGCTGTTTAAATGTGTTTTTTGTAAGCTCACACTTTTTCTTATACAAGTAAAGCAGAAACCACAAGTGCAAAAGCCTGATTCAATGTCAGTGCTGCCTCTCACCGGCAGGATCCCTGTATTCGATAGCGGTCAAGCCAGAGTGCCCAGAAATCATCTTTTATGTGGTCTTGCTGCTTCACTGCAAGGTTTAATATCTGAAGCATTGGTGGAGAATGGGACGTGTTCAAATGTATTCTGATTGAATCATCTAAACTTTGCCCAGCAGAAAGATATGCTGGCAGAGCCTGCAGTTTGTTGCTGTTTGTGGCACATTGTGGCTGCCTCAGCCTTAGCTCTGTGGCCTGAGACCACGTGTCCCGGCAATACACGCTCTGCCTTCGCTCACGTAACTTGTTTGTTTTTTTCCTGGAAGTCTGAGAGTCCATTTCAAAATCAAATGATGGTCATCTAATTACATAGCCATGTTAAGAGATGGTAAAAGTGCTTACAGGCCTGCCTGTCAGCCTGCTGCAGGCTGCCTTGGCGCGGCTGCTTCGTCTGAACAGGCTCGTGCTGTCACTGTTGCTCAGCAAGTAAGTGGCATCAGCTCCACGTAGTGGTTGTATTCAGCTGTCTTGCACTTGCTGGCACATCTCTGCTTACGTAGCCTCGTAGATACTGCAATTCTTTTAGTTTTAAAATAATTTTAAAATAGTTTTCTTCTTTATTAGTCTAGCTTTTACTAAACAACCTTGTGACAACTTCCCTTTCGGGGACAGGAGCCCTCAGGTTTGTTGTCATAGAAAACAACGGCTACAGATCAAAGATTTAATGCTTTTAGAGTGGGTGGTAATGTGCAGGGTCTTTCAGAGATGTCCTGTGCATCTCTCAAAAGAGAAGACCAAGTTCAGACAGAGCCTAAACTTTCTGCAGAGGACAAAATATTCCACAGATTGCAGAACTGAGGGGGAAAGGGCACTCCTGCTCCTAGGGCAGGAGGAGCTGATTGTTGCTGGAATTTCCTGGACGGGAAACTTACAGGATATTGCAAGTTATTAGGAAGGACACCTGCAGGGAAGTTAGTTATTTTAGTGTGCTTTGGGGACTCCTGGTTTGGTGCCCTGCGTGGCACTGAATTGTTCCTAGACATCCACGTGCCACAGCTCTTGTCTGTGAAAGGACTGTAGGAGCACTCCCCAAGGAAGAGTAAACTTGGGATGTAATTCATTGATTGATTCATGGGGTTGTTTTTGCCCACCTTGGATGCAAGGCACTTAACTGGTGCAGAGCATTGCCTTGGGGTGTTCCCAGTCAGGCCCACGAAGGAAGAACAAGTGTTGTTTCTCCTGGATTCTCCCATCCCTCTTTGCCCCATTTTCTTAGTGTGATGGCTGTCAATAATTTTAGCAAGAGTCATTCCTGACTGTCATTCCTGCAAGTGAGCCTTGATGAGGCTTTTGCTTTCTAATAGCTGAAACGGAGAAGGGATCTGCAGATCACTTGGATCTGGCTGGCTTGCCACCTCGCCCAAAAGAAACCGATAGTCTACAGATGACTCCACCTTCTCCAGATTCCAAGAAGAAGGCCAGAGGGATCAAGAAGTTATTTGGAAAGTAAGTAAAAGTTAAGAAATTGCTGTTCTCCAGAGCTGGGGCTTGCACGGGGGCTTGCTTGAAACACATCTTCCGTTTTTCCCCTTCCAAGCTGTGGCTTCATGGTTTACTGTCTCAAGAGCAGGAGCCAGTGTGGCATTTGAGGGACCTAACATCAGGTCAGTGGAGGGTGGAGGAAAAGCTACAAACCCTGCAGGAGATCGTAACTATATTGATTGCAGTAGTAGAAGCATGCCTTTCCCTTAGCCAAACATGAATATGCTTTCTTCCTTTAAACTAGACTTAAAAGAAGTCAGTCTACTACCTTCAACCCAGGTGACACATCTGAGACGGAGTTCAAAAGAGGAGGGACAAGAGCAACGGCGGGGCCACGGCTGGGCTGGTCTCGAGACCTGGGACAGTCTCACAAGTAAGAGGAATGGTGCAAAGTGTGCTGGTGCTTGCCTTCCCGGCAGCTCCGGTTGAGCACGGGGTCCAAAGGAGAAGTGCAGTGCCAAAATGAAATATCCCCTCTACTGGCAAAGGGAGGCTGGTGGACCCAGGCCATTTTCTCTGTCTGCTTTAAGAGATGGTCTTCGCAGGGTGGAGGCTGGCTGGGTGGCAGGGTCCTGCTGCCGAGCGGAGCCTGCCTTGCTCACGGCTCTGCAGGAGTGCAGCTGCGAGGCTGTGTGAAGCAGGGCGTGAGCCCTCGCGTGGCAATGGCAGATATTCCTCTGGCACGATGCCGGCTGCACTTCTGGGGATTAAAAGCTAAAGTAAAACATGATGGTCTTGCTTCAGATTTTTAGCCGCCCTAGGCAGCAGAGGTGGGTGTTCCAGTGCTATTAATAGACTGTGTTTATTGTGATAGTGGCAGATCAGCAGCAGCAATCAGTGCTTCATGGTGCTGACAGTTCAGAAGTGGAGAGACATCCTCTGCCTCATGAGGCTCACCTAACAGCTGACCGTGATGCACGTTCTTCCATGGAGGTTGTCCCAACTCCCACAGAATACTCATCAATTAGGCTTAGGTTTTATCGCTAGGTATGAGAATAGGAGATTTGAGATATGGCATTTATCAGTCTTTTTTTTTGTAAAATCTTCTATAGTGAGCTGGACACGCCATTCGCAAAGTGGACAAAGGAGCAGGTTTGCAACTGGCTCCAGGACCAAGGGCTAGGCTCTTACATTAGTAATGGCAAACACTGGATACTGTCTGGGCAAACGCTTCTGCAGGCTTCTCAGCAGGATCTGGAAAAGGTGAGAAATACTGGAAGTGCTGCTTTCAATTAAACAGGCAAAAAATTGCTATTTGTGTAAGGTGCATCCAGTTAAAAAAAAAAAGATTAATTTTTAAAATTGTGTCATCTGCAGCGATGCCAAATCTGTTTCTTTTAATTGAAGTTTCATAGAAATGTAATGCTCTCTAATGAAACTAAATAATTACAAATCTGTGATTTAACTTCGTTAAGCATGGACATATCAATCAGCTGTGCCACTTTAAAAATGTGCACACAAGAGTGCCTCATTATCATGTGGGTTTGTAGATTCATTACCACTTGTGTATGGTACAGCTATTTTATGCCTGGGAAAGGTGTAAAAAGCTGCTGTTTTGGTCTGACTGTGTTTTCTGCACCTTTTGCACAGAGGAATGAGGATTTGTTACACACAAGGGTGATCAGTTTCTTTGTCTTCAATCGTTATAGAGTTATTTACAGCTTGTTTTCTAAAACGAGAAACATTAAAACGTTGATTCAATCTGTACTTTGAATCCACAATATTTGCTAACATTTCAATTTTCAGCTTTGAAAAATCACTATCCTCACCAAATAGTAACCCGGTTTTCTCAGTGAGGGAGTGAGCTAATTCAAAGTTGCAGTTGTGCTAAAAGTGGAATAAGAAAAGTGTGATATGGACATAGTGGGTTGTAATAAAGTTATCAGAGGTCACATTAAGTAGCAAGCATTGGTGAAAGTGTATGTGGCATTGAAGAGATCCTGGAATGGCTGCACTTGCAACTAGACTGGGGAAGGTGTTAATGCATTTGGAAGTATTAATAAATTTCAGTAATTCCTGGGACCTTCATGTACTCTTAACTAAATAATTCTTTTAATCTTACCAGCCGTAGTGGGAGGGAAGAAAGTAATCCCATTGAGTATTTTTCTGAATGCTAACATGTTTTAAATTGTGGGGATTTTTAACCTGGCATGGGAATGTTGTGGCTGACATTTTCATACGTTTTGGAATCCACTACGTTTTGAAATTAATTCACCACAGTGAGTGGGCCTTTCCCTAGTGCTGAACATGCGCTAAAATGATGCTGATTTTCAGCAAGTAGAAAATACACCTGCCAAGTCACCAGCAAGTGCTGTGTACAGTGTGACTCTCTGAAACCATTTGTAGTTCAGCAGAGGGAGAAATAAAATACAGTGCTCTTTCTAGGTTTGCTGCTTTCCTTCCTTCCACAGGAGCTTGGGATAAAGCACCCATTGCATCGGAAGAAGCTTCAGCTTGCTCTGCAGGCACTCGGCTCTGAAGAGGAAAACAATCATGGAAAACTGGATTACCACTGGGTTACCAGTAAGATTTTATTGCATGCTGAGGCAGCAAATTTTGATAGGGGTTCCTAATCATGGCTAATTTGGGGCTCAGAAGGTGGGAATAGCACTAACTGGTGCTAGGTATCTCAGCTACCGCACTAACATGAGTATCTGTCTCTGCCTTAGGGTGGCTGGACGACATTGGCCTCCCCCAGTATAAGACCCAGTTTGATGAAGGAAAGGTGGACGGCCGAATGCTCCATTACATGAGCGTGGTGAGTGAATGGCATTTCTTTTCTGGACATCTTGTTTGTGTTCTTAGTTTCTCCCCACTTTAATGCATGCTGGCGTACCTCCAGATAGCTCACTAAAGACCAGATGAGACTAGAGGGGTACTTTTATTGTGCCTGCTGTTGCGGCTGCATGGATACTAAATCCACACAACACCCTCCAACCTCTCCATCACAGCCTCTATGCTGGCACCCCAGCCCCTCTTGCTGCCTTTTGGGTCATTTCGCCAGCAACAGCACCCCACAGCCCCAGCAGCCGTGCCCTACCACGCACTTGTGCGAACAGCCTTCTCCCCTTCCCATGTTCACCTCCTCTCGGCTGTCCCCAAGCCTTTCCTGGCAGCAGCATCGGCCCCAGACGCATTCCCTGCCCCTGTGATAGACAGAGGGGAAGAGGGGGCCAGGCAGCAGCTGGCCCTGAGAGGCAGCCCGGCGGGGGCGGGGGCG